GGGTCGGGACCCTTCAAATGTCAACTTTCCTGCTCCTCTGATGCTGCCTGGCCTGCTGTGTTCCTCCAGCTCCACACTTTGTTATCTCCTATTTGCATTAGTTGTGTTCAGTTAAGCACTTTCAGATATAGAGAAAAAAGAAAAAATGGATTACGTCCTTACTGAAAAGAAAGAAAGTAAGACCTTGGCACTGTCAATTCCTACCAAAAGGAAAGTATTTGTGAGCCAGAAGCCGATCACAAGATTGTTTTGGTGGAGAAGAAGGTCATTCAGCCCACTGTGTCTGTGCTGGCTCTCTGAGTATTTTGACTTATAGGTAAAATTCTGCCTTTTCTCATAACCCTGTAAATTGAATTGAATCTTACCAGAAATCAACTGTCATTTTTGTTGAGTTTCTTGGAAGGTTTCTTACCAGGAGGCCTAGTACAAAAGGGGCAACTTTATTACACAGCGAGTGGTTTATGTGTGGCATTAACTGCCAGAGAAAATGGTGGATGCAGGCACAATTATAACATTTAAAAGACAATTGGATAAGTTCATGAATAGGAAAGCTTTGGAGGAATATGGGCCAAGTGCAGGCAGGTGGGGCTAGTTTAGTTTGGGAACATGGTCAGCGTGGACTGGTTGGACCAAAGGGTCTGTTTCCATGCTGTATGACTGTATGACTTTATAACGATGGATGTCAGAGCAGTAGTCATTTATGCATGCTGCTTGATTTTTCTTCAGCACCAGGATGATAGTGGTCTTCTTGAAGTAGGTGGGAACCTCACTTTGTAGAAAGGAAAGGTTAAAGATGTCCGCAAATACTTCTACCAGCTGGTGTGCACAGGATCTGAGTGCACAGCCGATGACTCCATCTGGGCCAGTCACTTTCAGTGGGTTCACTCTCACGAAGGCGAATCTGACGTCTGTGGTGGTGACTGGGGGTATAGGTATACAATGGTAAACATTTAAACAGCACCTGGACAAACTGCAACAATTGTTCGTTCCTGTCTGGCACAACAATGAAATGGGAAATGTGGCCTGATTATGGTTAACAAGGGAGGTTAGGCATAGTATTGGATTCAAAGAATGGACACAAGTTGGCCAAAAAAAGCAGTAGACATGACGGTTGAGAACAGTTTAGATTTCAGGAAAAGAGGACAAAAAAATTGAAATTTAAAAGAGAAGTTTACAGATGACACAAAGCTGGGTGGGAGGATGAGCTGTAGGAACATGCAGAGATGTTTCAGTGCGACTTGGACAAACTGACTGAGTGGCAAATGCAAGGCAGTTGAAGTATAATGTAGATAAATGTGAGGTGATCAATTTTGGTAGCAAAAAACAGGAAAGTAGATTATTACCTGAAAGGCAATAGATTGGGAAATGGGGAGGTGCAATGATGTCCTGTACACCAGTCTCTGAAAGTAAGCATTGCAGGTGTAGGAGACAGTGAAGAAGACAAATAGTATGTTGGCCTTCATAGCGAGAGGAGTGGAGTACAGGAGCAGGGATATCTCACTGCAATTGTACAGAATCTTTGGTGAGACCAGACCTGGAGTATTGTGTGCAGTTTTGGTCTCTTTGTCTGAGGAAGAATGTTCTGGCTATGGAGGGAGTGCAACAAAGGTTTACCAGGCTAATTCCTGGGATGGCAGGACTGACTTTTGAAGAGAGATTGGATTGATTTTTGGACTATATTCGCTGGACTTTAGAAGAATGATGTGGGTGGGATTGGGATTGCGGGGAGAAGAATCTCACAGAATTCTATAAAGTTCTAATAGGACTAGACAGGGCAAACACAGCAAGGATATTCCCAATGACCAGGGAGTTCAGAACCAGGGGTCACAATCTAAAGATATGGGGTAGGCTATTTAGTACTGTGATTGGGGTAAATATCTTCACCCAGAGAATGGTGAGCCTGTGGAAATCTCTGCCACAGAAAAGGATTGAAGCCAAAACATTAAATAGTTTTCAAGAAGGAGTTAGATATGGTTCCTAGAGCTAAAGGGATCAAAGTGTACGGGGAGCAGGTGGTAACAGGGTCCTGAGTTAGATGATCAGTCATATTGAATAGCAGAGCAGGCTTGAAGACTTGGAGCAGGCTCGAGTTGGTATAGTCCTGCTACTATTTTCTAAGTTTCTATGTTTCTGTGAAGGTGAGGCAACTTTATTTGTATGGAGGGGATGTGGTAGAGCAGCACAGAAAGGAACAGGTAATGCAGGAGGGGATTTGCCCATAGCTGGGAGCATCCTGACTTAAAGCCAGGGACAGTGTATGACCATACCTGGCATGGTCAAGGGCAAGGTGAGGCTGGTGGAGGCTCATGAAAATATATTGGGTAGGGAGCTAGGAAGTTGCAAAGTAAATGAGTTTCATGACAAGTGCTACGAGGAAGGGAATCTGGATGTTTGGGGTTTCAATAACATCAGAGGTGCAGGCTGAAGCCACAGACCGAAGAGCCTTTGCTGTTGACCTCCACGGTGCTGGAAACTGAAAGTATGCAATGGGGAAGAACATGGCTGTACCCACGGCCAGAGCGGATTGGGCAAGTGTCTCGAAATGTGAGGGAGGGGGCTGCAGCACTCACCAATATGAGGTCTTTTAAAGGGAAACAACATTACACATAGGCCCATGCAATGTACAAGACACATACCTGTAGGGGTCTCTAATCCCAGATCATCCTATACTGAGCTGAAGGCCAGAAGAACATTCAAACTCCACCACTCTGATACGTTTCTACTTTGTCGGAACAGTTTTATTGAAACTTTGGCTACAAAACAGAAATCTGAATTAGGTAACAGGTTTTATCCAAGTGAAATCAGTGTCATTATTGTGAATCTTGACCCAGGAGCGTGAGTGCGATTACAATGAAAATATCTTCATGATTAATGCATTAAACACCAGAAATAAAAAAAATGACTAGAGACATACAAAAGATTAGCCATACCTGAAGGTAATTAATGTCTTAGCATTGCTGTCCTCCAGAGGCACGTTATTTCAGATTTCCATTCCTTAGGGTTGTCTGTTTCCTTTCTGACTCTTGGAACAAGAATGCTGACTGCACTTATGTGGTTTCCACCACTGCACTCAAATTGATGAGGATTCCAAAGATTCAAAAGCCTTTAACATAAGAAATTTCTCTTCATCTAAGTTTCAAGGTATTAACTCTTTATCCTGAGCCTGTGTCCCTGACCTTGAGATTCCTGGCCAGGGGAAGCAATCATTGTCTACCTTTCACAATCTCGTATGTTTCAATTATACCACTTTTTATTCTTCTAAACTCCAGAAAAAACAGACCCTCAATTTCATCAGTCTCTCCTCACAATACCATCTTCTTATCCCTTCCTTAATCTAGTGAACTGCTGTTCTAAAGCCTTCAATGCAAGTATATTCTTCCTTTTACAACAGCAAAGCTGCACACAATACTCCAGAACTCTGTACAATTGTAATGTCACCTCTTTACACTTGCACTCCAATCCTCTTACAATAAAGGCCAATGTGCCAATTGCTCTCCTAGTTGCTTATTGTACTTGCATGTTAAATTTCTGTGTTGCTCGTATGTGTCCACTGAGGAATCTCTGAGCACCAACATTTAGAAGTTTCACCCCTATTCTGCTTTTCTATAGTTACACCCACTGTAAAATAACGCCATGCATATCATATCCATCTGCCACCTTGTTCCCTCCTCACTGAACCTGTCTAAGATTTCTTCACAGCATCTTTGTGTCCTCTTCCCACCTAAATGCACTGTCAGCAAACTTCTCCCAATTCTCTGTCTCTTTGTCTAAATCATCAACGTAGATTGTGAACAGCCTGTGAGGGCCAACACTCATCATTGCAATTCTCCGGTAATTACAACATGTTAAAAGAAATTTCTGCCTACCTTTTCTCCTGGGCATAAAACAGAAACATGGCAAATTTTGTTCAGAAGAACAAAGATTTTCTCCATGGATACCTGGTCAACTGACATCATCAACACAGATTATCTAAGTCTTATCACATTGCTGTTTATGGGATCTTGCTGTGTGAAGCATGGCCACTGCACTTCCTATACTGCAACAGTGCCTGCACTTCTAAAGTACGTCATTGACTGTTAAATGTTTTAGACATTTTGACATGAATGCAAACCCTTCTTTGTTGGTGAGATGGAACAGATAGGGGCACAATTGAACCACAATGACTCACCCGTAGCTGATGGGAGGAAGTGAAGGGGAAGACAGCCACTCTATGATTATCACTGCTTTGAAGAAAGCAGTAGGATATCTGCATAAAATGCTATATCTGGCCTTATCTTTTAGAATATCAGGTGTTCGGGGTAAATCCAAAGACAGAGATGGATCACTGGACCTAAAACGTTGACTTTGCTTTCTCTCCATAGATGCTGTCAAACTTGCTGTGTTTCTCCAGCAATTTTTGGCTTTGTTTCAGATTTCCAGCATTTGCAGTTTTTGACGGGGATGGTATTGATGAGGAGATCTGGGTTCCTGTGGAATGATTCTACTATTCAGTACACAGTTGGCATGCAATGGCCATTACATATAAGCAGTAACATGCAATCAGATCCAGACATTATATTGAATGGAAAAAGTCTGCCTGAATAGACTTCTCATGTTGTTTTAATGCATAGCACACAGCAAATGTCTTGAAACTGTTCAAGAAATCCCTTGTGGGACAAAATTCTGCGTGGGGAAAGTGCTCAAAGGAAACAACAGTTTTAGATAAGGTTTCTAATTTGTTCAGTGTTCAGCTGGTTTGTTTACTTGGAAGGAAATGGTCAGAGCATGAAATAAGTCTCATGGCATGAACCATGGTTTTTAATTGCTGATCTTTAGCTTTTGCATAGAATCTGAACTTCTTCCTTCAAGCTTCGTGTCTCATGTTGAAACTTTATCACCACGGTCAGCTGATGATTACATCCAGAAGTCTTGGTTTTAAATCGGGCATTAACTTTTGATAGGCTGATTCTGTTTTTCTTGATTATTTTTCATCTCCAGTTTCAGCTCCTTCGGTAAAAGAGCTGCACCCCTCCATCATTGCAAATTATTGCCACATCTCCAATCTTGTTTTTTTCTCTCTCAAAAGTTCTTGAACTTCTTGTAAGCTCTCAAATCTCTCCCTCAGATCTTCTCCACAACTTTTTATTTAAATCTTCACTGTCAGCTTTTCTCCATGCCACAGTGACCCTTCTTAAAGTTACAAGTGGGGATGGCTCCGATGCATGGCAACTGTTTGTGAACTCTCCACAGCACATTTTATTCTCACACTTATTACATTTGTTCTACTCTTTAAAAACTCAATTCCATGTATGTTTAAATTACTAACAATGTTCTCGTAAATCACCTTCTCTGCAACCGTAGCATTGTATTCCTTGCTCTATTCTATTACTCTAATGCACTTTGTATGGCATGATCTGCCTATACTGCATGCAAAACAAAACTTTTCATTGTACCTAAGTACATGTGACAATAATAAATCAAATCAAATCAAATATAACCTTTTGTGATTGTGGTAAACTTTCTTACCTCATTTCCTTCAAATCTTTTGAAGTCTTTGCAGCTCTATGGGCCTGCCCTCACTGTGGCTCAGTGGTTAGCACTGCTGCCTCACAGCACCAGGGACCCAGGTTCGATCCCACCCTTAGGCGACTGTCTGTGTGGAGTTTGTACATTCTCCCTGCGTCTGCGTGGGTTTCCTCCGGGTACTCTGGTACGTCACCTGACAAAGGAGCAGCGCTTTGAAAGCTTGTGATTTCAAATAAACCTGTTGGACTACAACCTGGTGTCGTGTGACCTCTGACATTGTCTACCCCAGTCCAACACCAGAACTTCCACATCATGGCTCCTATCTACGAGACGCACTGCAGAAATTCATCAAGGCTCCTTAGACAGCATCTTCCAAACCCATGGCCACTTCCAACTACAAGGACAGGGATAGCAAATGCATGAGAACGCCCCCACCTGCAAGTTCCCCTCCAAGCCACTCACTATGCTGAATTGGAAATACATTGCTGTTCCTTCATTGTTGCTGGGTCAAAATCCTGGAATTCCTTCCCTAATGGACTGCAGCGGTTCAAGAAGACAGCTCACCACCTTCTCAAGGGCAATTAGGGATTGGCAACAAATGTTGGTCTAGGCAACAACGCCTCTATCATGTGACAAAGCAGCCTGCTTGATTGGCACCGCATCCACTCTTTCTACCACTGATGCTCAGTAGCAGCAGTGTGTACTATCTAAAAGATGCACTGCAGAAATTCACTAAAGATCATTGGACATCACCTTCCAAACCCACGACCACTTCAATTTAGATGGACAAGGGCAGCAGATGCATGGGAACACCACCACCTCCAAGTTCCCTTCCAAGCCACTCACCATTCTGACTTGGAAATATATCACCGTTTCTTCACTGTCGCTGGGTCAAAATCCTAGAATTCCCTCCCTATTGCCATTGTGGGTCAACCTACAGCACATGGACTGCAGTGGTTCAAGAAGGCAGCTCACCACCACCTTCTCAAGGGCAACTAGGAACAGGCAATAAATGCTGGCCAGGCAGCGACGCTCAAACGCCACAAATTAAAAAAAGAAAGAACAAATAAAATAAAATCCTTTCAAAGGAAAATCAAAGGAAAGCTTCAAGATGAAGGAAATACCCAGGTATGGAGAAAATGGGGCTTTGGGATTAGTTTTGGATTGCTTGTGTGAAAAGTCAACATAGACATGATGGACCAAAGAGCCTGCTGCTCACCAGAAAGTTTGTACAGCTCTGCAGTTCCAAACCACACAGAATTCATAGAAAATGGATTAGTTAAAAGTACTGGAAATATGCAGCAGGCCAGACTAGAAAAGAAGAGGCTACAGTTTCAGCTGTGATCCTTCATTAGAAACCTCACTGTATATAGCCAGCATTTCCTGGTTTCATTTGAATGTTGTTGGTTTTGTTTTAATCTCTGTGACTTGGAATGCCATCCCTGGGTTAACTGAAGATTTACCACACGGTCAGCTAAGTGATTAAAAAGAACGATTCCAAAAGCAAAATGTTTATTCAGCATAACCTGATCACGGGGATACTCAAATTTCTGTTTTAAAATGATGAAATTAGAGATAAACCTTCTTTTGAAAATGTTTCCAATTGAATAAACTAGTTATAAGAACATTTTAAAAATATTTTTCCACAACAGATCATATTGTCAGTAATTGCTGAGAAATAAAATCAACACTACAGCATTGAAGTTTTTCTGGCCATCTCTCTGTCACTCTGTTTATTGAAAATGTTTCAACATAAAAGGCAGTAGATCTTGCCCATCTTCCAGGATTTCCCTGAACAATCATCACAAACCCTGCCTGCCCTCTGTAATGCCTACTCATTTACTCAGAATGCATTCCCAACTCCACAGTACTAGCTGTGCCACCCACTTTCATCCATTGTATTACCAATCTGTCCTCAATTTGGGAGGAAAACAGCCCACAACATCGCAAAAAAAAGTCATGACAGCTGTCTGTCTGCTTCACATTTGGTTTCTCACCCTTTTATGAGAAGACGATCCTGACTCTGACTGACCAGGACTGGTATTAGAGACCGTCTTTGACTTACTGGGCCAGCAACCCCTGACAGAAGGCTATTTCCTTTGACTTGACTGAGGATTGCTGAAACGATGACAAGTTTCCTGGTTTTGTGTCTTTGCTAAATGGCAGCAATAACGTGAGCTCAGTAACTCTTTCTGAGAGGACAAAACACAAAAAGGCAAAAGGCAACGCACGGCAATGCAGTGCCCCAGAGTGAGTGAATGTTATGAGAAAAAGTGAACAGCCTGGAGATAAAGCCTGATCCAGTCCAGGAACTGGGTGTGTGTCCCTGAACATTAGTGTCCTTGCTGCAGCATTACAATTGGAATAGCCTGAGAAGCATCCTGTAAGTGGACTGGGATGTGCCATGAGGGCTCATATAGAGGCTGACACATGTCAGATGCCAATGTCTGTGGGTGTGGGATTGCATGTGCCCACAGAGTGTTCTAGGATGTTGGTATTAGGTGTCCAACATGGAAGTCCTTTGGGACAATTGGTGAGCTCAGCCTGCCAATCACTCGCTCTGTTTTCCACAGCGGGGTTTCCCACGGTCTAGTTTATTGGGGCAGTTTGATAAGTGGAATACTGGGAGATTAATGAAGTGAGACATCAACAAGGATTTTAACTAGTGTTCATTTCTGTCAATTTGAGGGCAGCATGGCAGCTCAGTGGTTAGCATTGCTGCCTCACAGCGCCAGGGACCTGGGTTCAATTCCACCCTCAGCTGACTGTTTGTGTGGGTTTCCTGTTGGTGCTCCGGTTTCCTGTTGGTGCTCCAGTTTCCTCCCACTGTCTAAAAATGTTCATATTAAGTGGATTGGCATGAAATGTAGAATTACGGGGATATTCTTCTCTGAATCAGTGTGGACTGAATGGTCTCTTTTTGCACTGTATAGTTTTATGATTCAACTGGCAACTCATTGCTGCCTGGCAATAAGCTCACTCTGCCACTTGTGAAATGCATACAAGATGGAATGGGATGACCTTGATGTCAAGATGCTCCTCAGAGGCTTTCTCTCCTGATCCTGTCACATAGCTTTCTGTAGCCCTAACCCAGATATCTGTCAGATTTTTGCCCTCTGCTCTCCTTTCTTTAATGTGTTCTTCCCCACGGGGAAGATTCTCCAAATCTGTGAACCTACTGACCTTGTGCAGTTCACTCATGCTTTTGCAATGTACATGTTTTTGTAACACTACGCCTATATTTTTTGCTTTCTGTTTCCTTTTCAGTCATAGCAGTCTCTTGTAAGTATTTTTAACCAACACACCTCTGGATCAAATAGGACTTGAACCCAGGCCTCCTGGCTCAGCAGCAGGGACACAACTGCCGTGCTACAAGAAACCAGCAGTTTCTTATATTACAGGTTGAGGCTGTTCACTCTGATTTCTCTCATTAAAAACAAACAATGCACAGCTAGATTTTAATTAACAGCATACATTAAGTCAATGCAATTGAATGTGCATGATCTCAACCATTAGTAGGGTGGCATGGTGGCTCAGTGGCTAGCACTGCTAACTTACAGCACCAAGGACCTAGGTTCAATTCTACCCTCAGATGACTGTCTGTGTGGAGTTTGCACGT